AGGGTGTCCCGGACATCTCTGCGTCTGAAGGCTTCGTGGTTGGGGAAGTCACTAAGGTGCCAGGGTTGGGGTGGAACGGGGGTCGGTAACCACCTTCCACGCGCAAAGGAGCGTGACAAGAGTCAAAATAGCAGCCTCAAACTGTCATTCACTCCCCTGCATGGTCCTGTCCAGCTATTGTGGCTCTCCCACCTGTGCAGTGCCCTGGAGCTTGTCCATAACGTACCGTAGTTGGGCTGGGGCTGTGTGTCGTCGTTAGCCAGGGCCTGTATCTTGAGAAGACATGAGACTAAGCCAAATTTTGCATTTCAATCCATCTTCAGACTGAGAGAGAGCACAGCTGGGCCCAGCTCTTAGTTCTCCCTCAGCAGCCTCTGTATTTCAGCAGGACTAACAGCCCTTCTCATTCTTTTTCCCCTTTTTTTTTCCTCCTCTAGAAAAGCATTCTCATTTCTTGCCCTCATGAAAATGTGTCCACCAAGTTCCTGGCCCCGCACACAACTTTTAGGAGAATTCATCAGAAAAGCGTAAGTAACTTTGCAAAGTGAGCAAGAAGTAACTGAAAGCAGCCACCAACTTTCACCACGCGTTTGACTGTTGTGTGGTTGTTCTGGGGAGCGGCCTGCAGCGTGATTCTGTGTGGGAACTGGGTAATAAAGCAAATGACGTTATAGGAACTTGGGAAACTCGATCGTGGTTAAATTTACCACTCTAAAAAAAATCTTTAAAATTCCTCAGGTTATTTTCTGGCAAGTGATGTAATTTCTGCTTGCTTCAGGCCTATGGAGTCCTCTGTAAAGGAATAAGATGTGTGAATTAGTGAAGCTAATGTGTGAAGATAAATATAAGGAGTTTCAAGCACTGTGCTCTTCACCTCTGACTGCTTCAAATCTTTCCCCAGTTTATATTGTTTTTTTGCTCCTGTATAATGGAATTGTCTGTCTTTGATATTTGCCGTGTGGATTTATGTTTGTGAGGCTGGGAACCGAATGTTGCACAAACCCATCTTGACCTGGTGGGAGTTCAGAAGCGAGAAAGGCCCATCACGTGTTTAAAAAAATAAAAAAATTGTGCTAAATTCTCAGTTCTTAAAAAGGAGTCCTCGTTTTGCTGAATCATCTAATTGCACCCACATCAATCCGAGGGTGCAGCAAGTACAGCTGCTCGTTCAACAGTGTTACGGAAAGGCCGACTCGGACCTGAAATTCCATTTTTTCGCTGAAGAGAAGCACAGAACGTGGCTTTGCCGGAAAGTAGCCGATGCTTTCGTCAGATGCTTAATCCTGTGTGGAAATGATTCAAGAAACTAGGAAGCCTTCTGGAGATGGTTGAGATTGCTTGTCTCGTGATCTATTGAGTAAATGATGGTGATAAACTCAGCTGAAAATGCTGAGAAGTCAGGCTCTGTTAGGGAAGCTCAGAAGGGTATAAATCAAGGTGCGTTTTGACATAAAGGCAATTCTGCATCTCTGCAGCTGTTTTAAAAGGCCGAGCGACAGAGCTCGGCAGTGAGGCAGCTCCAGAGACAGAGGTGAATCATTTCTCTGCGCTTTGTGTTACTTAAGAGTCTCCAGCTGCCCTTTTTGGTGATAAATGGAATCAGCATTCAGAGCACAGCAAAATGGAAATGCAGGCGTAAGTGTTTAGTCTGCTGTCAGATGGGTGTGCTGGGTTACAGCTGCACTGCAGATCGCTCCTCTGGAAAGCCGCCGAAGCAGTATCCATTAATATGGAGATGAGTTTGAGGCCGGTGTGGACCTTTTTACCTGCTGCCTCGTGTTCCAGCACTCTTGCTTGGCCTTGCCTGTTCACGTATACCTCCTGAAAATTTTGGATGTGTCATACAGCAGAGAGTCTTTTAATTCCTGCTTGAGTGACCTTCACAGGCATTTTGGGTTTTATTGTATTTTGATTTTTTTTAATGAAGGAGCAAATTACCACAGACCGGTGTGTTACATAAAATGCTGTTCACATTACCAATGTATTCCTCACACACCAATACGTAACTAAATGTATTTAATGGCTGTTGTAACCTTGTACTCTTACTTAAATCTTCCAATTCCTGTTTTAATTCCCAATTATTTTTTCGTTTCAAGTGGTACTTAAATATTGATTCTTCACCTTGTTAAAATTAGCTGGGATTTGACCTGTCAGAGTTTTTCAGGGGAGCAGTTTCATCTGACTCTTGCTTGAATAGGACTGAAGTGTTGCACGTTGTGTGCCCACAAGCCCTGGCTGACACACGTGCAGCAATACGACACCATAGGACATCATCTTTAACATCTGGAAACAACTGGAGATTGGTGCAGGTCTCTCACGTACTTGGCTTGCCTCAGGGCACAGTCCTGAAATCTCTGGCCTCTAGCTGTTGTCTGTCTTGGCAAAAATTCTCAATCTACTCGTATCGTTGGGTTTCCCCAAACATGGTAGCAGATCTCTGTCTCTCAGGCTGGCTGCTGGCTAAGCTGAGCACGTGCAAGAGGATCGACAAAGCCCAGTCTTGTCTGAAAACACTTTAAGTGTTCAGAAAAATCGTTTAATCTGCAGCAGCAAGTTAAGACCAGAACCCACGTTCTTCGTCATGATGGTGAGGGGTTGGAATGACAATGAAACGGTGATTTCGCGTGGTGGATCTGCATCTCTTGTTTCTGTCCATGGATTTTACCCCTGTAGTGTTTTCTTCCGAT